GCAGCTGTAGTCCTTCAGGGTCCAGGAAAAGCAAACTATGACGCATCCAAGGACCAGAAGGACAATTTCTTTGCATCCTCGAAATGGCAGCCATCCGTTGTAAGAAGACTACAGAGCGTCTGTGCATTGTTGTTGCCATGCCAACCTGCTGAGACTCCTCACAAAGAAGGCTCATCCATTCCTCCTGTGCTTTAGTATTTGGCCCAGAGGTTTCCCAAATGGTTGCACGGAAATCACTGTGGTCCAAGTGTGATGACTCACTCAGGCACACTTGTGCACCTGTCTTCCATTTCCCATTGCTCCCTCCTGACCTCTTGCTCAGTCTGTCACCTCTCCACAATCTGCGTACGCACACTCAGTTGTTACTAATTTGCTGCTGTTGTGTTTACAACTTGAATTTTGGATGATTAATTGGTGTTACCATTTTTAAGAGAGTCATGCTAAAATTTTTTCAAGTCTGGATTTAAAAATAAAAATTAGGAGTAGGTGAGTAACAAAGCTGGACAGTGGCATGAAGTCAGGGCCAGGTCAGAAAAAAGAGGCTGAAAGCGGGCTCTCCCGGCACTGGTAGAAGAAAATTGCTGGGTCCTTGTTTCTTCTGTTTTGCTCCCTTATTCCCCTGAATCTCAGACGAGTACTCATTCCAACTTAGTTGGCTGTGGATACTTTACAAGCAATAAAACACACTGAGAATTTATCCATTAAAAAAATAATCATTGTACTCCATCAAAATGTGTTGAAGTTGATCTCCAAATTGCAACTTTCCTATCAACTGTACCGTCACAAGAGTTATGTTAATCTCTTACATAAGAGACATTGTTCGCAAATTCATATAAGGATTTGCACAAAAAGAGAGAGAGAGAAAGTGCACTTTCGTAACTTTCATGAGGACCGGCTTTCAGGAAAGATGGCAATGTTTTCCTTTGTTTAAAGAAATCAAGCAGGGACTTTGGCAAGATGGCCAACTATGAAGACACACACTACCCAGACCCTCTATAAAAGACACACGAGACTGGATGAAACAGGTGCAGACGATGAGCCCAGAACCCGTGCTTCAGAGGAAAGGATAGAGAAGTGGATTGACTACTGACTCAAAGAACGGGGACCTCCTGCCTTGCTTGCTCAGGAACAAGGTATACCTTCACCAGAGGCTGAGATCAGGAAAGGTAATCAGTCACATCCTCCAGCATGGTGCCTGACCCAGCAGCTGATTACACCCCTTTTCTCACCCTCGCCCCCATAATAGCCCCTGCTCTGCCTAGGGTCAGAACTGGGTTCTCGTGGATCAGCTGTGAGCAGCTCTTGGTTCCCCATTACACATGCATGGCAGGTGAGCTCCATCTCATCCAAACAGCAGAAAGCCAGTGCCTGTTGCAAACCACCCAGGATGGGCAAGAACTCCTAACATAAACACCTGCTTTGCCACAGCTGCCCTCTGAGCCAGAAAGAGTTCCTTTCTGGGAAAATCGCCCTGACCTCTGCTACCGTGCGAGCCTGTATGAGCTGTAGATCATGTTCCTGAACCTAGATAACAACTAGGCCAACAGGAAAAGCATCTCAGGCAGTCTTGCCACCCGTTCACCCTTCATCCCCATCCCATGAGCTTCTTGGCAGGTGGGCAGAAGGTGCCAACCCGAGTGGTACCCCAGTGCCCCAGACTTTTCTCCTTTCCGTGTCCTGCCTCTGCCCCATTTTTCTGCTCTTTTGGGTCTTTTTTTCTTTGCTTTCCTTTGTTCTTTCTCAGTTTTCTTCTCTTTCAATTTTTCTCTTTACTATTGTCTTTTTGTGTTTATTTCTCCCT